TATTTGTTGAATATAATTTATTTGAAATGAACATTTCTGCCTCAAAAAGACAGAAGTACTGAGTACCCAAGGAATATTCTATGTAGATCCCCACTGTTAAACCAACTGGCTCGTACTTAGAGAAAAATAAATTTCAAAAACATCATTTAGAAGGTCAGACCCCCAAACTGTCTTACCCTACGCATCCTTCTGAATACTTACTTCATAAATGTTTCCTATGTCTTTGATTTATATTCCATGTCCACCTTAGTGAAATGTATTATCATAAGATATTTTGTCATTTGGATAAAGCACAGAGTATTATTTAGTTTTAAGGCCATACAGTTACAGACTTAAGGAAATTAGATAGGATTAAAATGAAATGTGTTAAAAAGGAATTTGATAAGTCCACAGATTCTTGTTACCAGATTGAATTTTTCATGGGAACTGCTAAGTGGGGATAAGGGTGATCCTGACCATAGCCTTAGGGTAACTCTTGATCTGACGCAGTGCTGCCAAACGCAGCCCGAGAGGATATGCTTGTCTGCACAGCGGTTCTTCCTTCCTCCCACTCCCCACTAAACACTTTGCTGAGCCTCTCCCCTGTGTCTGTGGACACATTTAGTGCACCATAGATCTTTTCCCCATCGCCATTTACCCTTCCTACACCCTCTCCCCTCCGGCCACCCAGCTTCCTCCCCGCACAATGACCAAACATTGTCCGTGTCCACGAGTTCTTTCTCTCGATTTTTCTCCCAAATGTCCAAGTTTTGTTGTATAAGTTTTGAAAATAACCCACTCATAGTCCACCAAATTGAAATTGTTCCTTTTTCATATATTACTACTTACATATCAGCGTTTGATTCTTGCTACTATTATGTTTCGTTGGTCTCTTTTTCCTTCATCGATACCATTATTGGTGTCGCTACACTTACTATGCTAATTATACCTTTTTACTGTCTGAGAGGACAAAATTGCTCTCTATTACTTCTCAATTAAGACTTTCTCCTACCTACTCTTGGCTATGATTCTCAGTGAACTTTATTTTGTCAAGTTCTCCCAATGATCTCATTGAGATGTGGGTTTATAATAATACTATGTCTACTAAATTAAGAAAAAAAGAACCAACTTTTTTTTTTCTCCAATGGGGAAAATGAACTGTGTCTCACTTATTCAGAGCTTTTTGTTGTATACCTCTCAGAATTTTTACATTTAACCTTAATAATCCTTACCATTCTTCTTAGGACTCTTGCTAGATATTTTATTTTAATTATGTTTTATTTTATTTTCACTGTTACGAATGAGACCTTTTCCCATAATGATTCCCAGTTATTTGTCACTGAGTCAAAAGGAAACTTGATTTTTGGCTATCACTCTGAATACTGTCAATTTGTTGAGCTCTCTTATCAATTCAAACAGTTTTCCCATTGATTCTTATTAAGGCTCTAGTTAGATTATCATCATTCGCAGCCAATATGATTATCTGGGATCTTCCTTCTCATTACAAATGCTTATTTCTCCTTCATGTTAAATATTAGAGGTGATAACAGTTGCTTGGCTCATTTAAGTGCATGATTTTTCTCTTAATTAGCAAAGAGAACGTAACTTTGACCTGGTTACTGTTCAACTGTTATCCCTGTAGTAAAGAGAAATAGAGCTTGTGGTGAATAGTTTGAATAACATAAATTGATTTTCTGGTAGTTTTGATTTTGTCCCTGGATCAAACTAGATCATCCAAGACCAAAATGTTTGCTCTGCATTTTCTTGACCCAACAGAATTCTCTTTGCAAAGTTGTGCTTTGCCTTCCTCCTTTGACTTATATCAGGAATAGTATAAAATCACCTGCAAAATCTATTATAATTATTTTGTAGGATTTTTTTAGTTCATTGTTCATGTCATCACTCAGTAACCTAAATATAAAAAAAAAAACCAAAAACCCTATGATAGAAATGTCTTCAATACTACAGTCCCAGAAAAAAACAGTTGGTGTAATTCACTCCTGTTAGATTTCAGGGTCCCTGGTCCTTGAAATTACACAACCTAGAGTGTTGTGGGGCTCACTAAGTTGTCCAAATGGGGCTCTGGTAGCAGAGGGCTTGAGTTAATTTATTGACATCTGGGCCTAAATGTCTAAGCAGATAGTTTTATATCAAAACCAGGCTTGTTCAATATGGAAAATAGGAACGAATCTGAGTGAAAAAGTCAGAGGAAGTTCTCTCTACAAAGCAAAACAACAGCTATATGAATCATTAGTAAAAGTCCATATATATGAAAATACAAAAGCCACAGACTTGTATACCTTGAATCCAGAATCCTCTCCTGGGAAAGTGCTTTATGATCATAGCTTTGGCTTCTAGGAAAGAGTATTACCAGGAATAGCCATATGAAAATTATTTCTGAATTTTTTATTAAAAAAATATTGTCAAGAAGGCTATGCAGTGTTCAAGATCTTAAACTTAAGATCCCAGAAGAAAAATTTCATTCAGGAACTTAGTGACAGGAAAGCCTCGATTCCTGTTTCAAATTCGATGCTTGCTCCCTCCAGGTATTAATTGAGTTTTCCACTTGTTCTTCCACCTCCCCATTACTAAGAAGCCCAGAACGAAACCTGCCATTCAGTCAAAGCAATGGCGTGAGCCCTCAGAGTTGACTTAGTATTTATTTTCATGTTTCTAATTTCCTCTTACTAGTTGATTAGCTTTATCACTAATCATTTCAAAATTTTTTTTTTTTTAAAGGCCAAGTATGTATGGTATTTTGTTTGCTGTTGTCAGATGGCTGTTTTTTGTTGTTGTTTTTTTTTTAAAAATACGTTTTTGCTTTCAGAGAGCGGAAGGGAGAGGGGGAGAGAGAGAGAAAAACATCAGTGATGAAAGTCATCATGGGTCGGCTGCCTCCTGCGTGCCCCTGCTGGGGACCGAGCCTGCAACCCGGGCATGTGCCCTGACCGGGAACCGAACCTCGGTCTCCTCCTGGTTCATGGGTTGATGCTCAACTGCTGAGCCAGCTGGGCCAGATGGCTGTTTTCAGCGGCTCAAATAGGTCTATGATTGAGATATTAAGGAGAGTCCGGGTAGGCGCACAATGGAAGTTGCTGGAACAGTCCCGCTCCTGCAGTTAAGTGAAGACGGGGATTGCAACTCAGCCGGATAAATCAAGAAGCCGGCCGGGCTCCTCAGCAGTGGACCGGACAGCACGTGCCGCTCTCACGCCCGTGGCTGCCACGCGGCCCTAAGATCAGAGTGGTTTCTCGAGGGAATGCGAGTCCAAATTGCCGTATTTTACAATTTTCCAAGAAAATCTAAAATTCACTACGTTAAAGGGAATCCTGGTCTTTGAATGGTCGAAAACTAGTTCAAATTCTTTAAAACACTCTGAACCAGCGGAAGATAGAGTGGAGGCTGACAGGGAGAGAAATAAGCAGTTGTTGTTTCACGGGGATAAAGTTGCGGTCATACAAGATGAGTAAGCTCTAGAGATTTGTTGTACAACCTTGTGCTTATGATTAACAATGTGGTATTGTACACTTAAAACTTGTTAATAGGTTAGACCTCACGTTAAGGGCTCCTAACACAAGGAAAGGAAAAGTACACCCAGGGAAAGTTCTGAAGGCGATGGGTTTGTAAATGTCACGGGTACGAGCATATTTCCAAAATCATCAAATTGTATATACATTGACTATATGCAATTATTTAATATACACATAGTTTCAAAAAACACACAAAAGCTCAAGTACTCCTTCCTTAGCCACAGTTTTGCTGTGGTTTTGGTTACTCCCTGGTCAACTGCGGTCTGAAAATATTAAATGGAATATTCCAGAAATAAACAATTCACAACCTTTAAACTGGGAAAATTTAACAATTGATTACGTTTTAGTTGTCCTGAGTAACATGATTAAATCTTGTCCCATTCCACTCTGTCCTGCCTGGGATGTGAATCATCTTTGTCCAACGTCTCTGCACTTACCTGCTCCCTATGCATTTCTCACTGAGCAGCGGCTTAGTTACCAGATTGACTATCGAGGTATCATAGTGCTTGTGTTCAAGTAACCTGTATTTTGCTTGATAATGGCCCTAGAGCACAAGAGTAGTGATGCTTGAGATTGGATATGCTAGAGAGAAGCCTTTAAGTGAAAAGGTATGTATGTATAGAGAAAACATGGTATATAAAGGGCTTGGGACTATCTATGGTTTTAGGCATCCACCGGGGGCGGGGGGGCAGGGTTGGAACATATCTGCTGTGGATAAGATGACAGGCCAAGACACCACCTATGGCCTTTGGGCTCTGAGACATCCGGGAGCAGGTATCAAAACCCAGTTACCAGGGGGACAAAACAGGAACTTTGCCACCAGGGACTTGATGTCACAATGGCACCAAGGATCACACCAACTTAAACCTGAATAATAAGGCCTTGGCGTGAGAAACCAGAGTTTTGAGCTGTCTCAGACTTTGTGAACACTGATTAACAAAAAAGAGGCCTGGACTTGAAATCTGGAAGCATGGCCATGGTGTCAGCTCTGCCACCAATGAATCAGGCCCATGGAACTTCCTGATGCCTCCATAGCACACCGCACACAAGAAAAAGGTTTGATAGGATATGTGAATCTTTCAGATTTACAAAAATATCTCATCAGAAACCCCAAAGATATGCAAACATGAGAAGTTTCCACGCATCTTTAAATCATGTACTTCTACAGAATTGTCTAAATTTCCAGTGTTTCTGCTAACATGAAATGAGCTGAATTTTCAAGGTTGAGCAAAAAAAGTCAAGATTGAAAAATAGGGACAGCTGGACTTCCACAAAGGACTTCCACCAAAGAATATCCCAACATCATACTTTTCTATCAAGAAAAATATGGTCACAATGTGCTTTAGTGCTCTATTTTTTGAAATGGGTAGAGTTAATATTTATAATTTATAAGTAGGTGCCATTTGGACATACACTTTTGTTATACCTCTTTTTTGTAAACAACAAATCACAAGTTATAAACACCCGACTCTGCAATGTTTTCAGAATGCACTACTTTAATTCTGCGATGATTGTTCTGAGTTTTTCCTTAAGGGGGCCACAAAATTCACCCACCTTTTCTTCCTTTTTGTAAAATTGAAAGGTTGGGATACAAATGATCCCACGGTCTTTCACCAGCTCCTCACACTCATCAACATCCACTTCCAGGAACACTACATCCTCGTGCTTCACAGACAGGGAACAGAACAGGGGCTTGATGGTCCTGCAAGGCCCACACCACGTGGCTGAGAAATCCACGGCCACAAGCCTCTCCCCGGCCTCCCTGAGCGTCAACTCGAAATGCTCTTTGCTCAGGATCACTTTCACCATGTGGACCTCCAAGAGCTCCATTGTTTCTTCTGCTGAGATGTCACCTTCTATAAGCTGAATGTTTTCTTCTGAAGACTTGGGTGTGTCACCCTTCTTGAGCTGGATGGCTTCTTCTGAGGACTTGGGGGCAGTTTCCTCCCCTGGCTGGATGGCTTCTTCTGGAGATTTGGAGGTGTCACCCTGCTTGGGTAAAATGTCTTTTTCTGAGGACTTGGGGGTGCTGCCCTGTTTTGGCTGGGTGGTTTCTTCTGGAGATTTGGAGGTGTCACCCTGCTTGGGTGAAATGTCTTCTTCTGAGGACTTGGGAGTGTTGTCCTGCTTTGGCTGGATGGTTTCTTCTGGAGATTTGGAGATGTCACCCTGCTTGGGTGAAATGTCTTCTTCTGAGGACTTGGGAGTGTTGTCCTGCTTTGGCTGGATGGTTTCCTCTGGAGATTTGGAGGTGTCACCCTGCTTGGGTGAAGCATCTTTTTCTGAGGACTTGGAGGTGTTGCCCTGCTTTGGCTGGATGGTTTCTTCTGGAGATTTGGAGGTGTCACCCTTCTTGGATGAAATATCTTTTTCTGAGGACTTGGGGGTGTTGCCCTGCTTTGGCTGGATGGTTTCTTCTGGAGATTTGGAGGTGTCACCCTGCTTGGGTGAAATGTCTTTTTCTGAGGACTTGGGGGTGTTTCCCTGCTTTGGCTGGATGGTTTCTTCTGGAGATTTGGAGGTGTCACCCTGCTTGGGTGAAATATCTTTTTCTGAGGACTTGGGGGTGTTGCCCTGCTTTGGCTGGATGGTTTCTTCTGGAGATTTGGAGGTGTCACCCTGCTTGGGTGAAATGTCTTTTTCTGAGGACTTGGGGGTGTTGCCCTGCTTTGGCTGGATGGTTTCTTCTGGAGATTTGGAGGTGTCACCCTGCTTGGGTGAAATGTCTTTTTCTGAGGACTTGGGGGTGTTGCCCTGCTTTGGCTGGATGGTTTCTTCTGGAGATTTGGAGGTGTCACCCTGCTTGGGTGAAATGTCTTTTTCTGAGGACTTGGGGGTGTTGCCCTGCTTTGGCTGGATGGTTTCTTCTGGAGATTTGGAGGTGTCACCCTGCTTGGGTGAAATGTCTTTTTCTGAGGACTTGGGGGTGTTGCCCTGCTTTGGCTGGATGGTTTCTTCTGGAGATTTGGAGGTGTCACCCTGCTTGGGTGAAATGTCTTTTTCTGAGGACTTGGGGGTGTTGCCCTGCTTTGGCTGGATGGTTTCTTCTGGAGATTTGGAGGTGTCACCCTGCTTGGGTGAAATGTCTTTTTCTGAGGACTTGGGGGTGTTGCCGTGCTTTGGCTGGATGGTTTCTTCTGGAGATTTGGAGGTGTCACCCTGCTTGGGTGAAATGTCTTTTTCTGAGGACTTGGGGGTGTTGCCCTGCTTTGGCTGGATGGTTTTTCCTGGGGATTTGGAGATGTCACCCTGCTTGGGTGAAATGTCTTTTTCTGAGGACTTGGGGGTGTTGCCCTGCTTTGGCTGGATGGTTTCTTCTGAGGATTTGGAGGCATCACCGTGCTTGTGTGAAATGATTTGGGCTGAGAGCTTGGGGGTGTTGTCCTTCTTGGGCAGGATATTTTTTTCTGAGGAACTGAAGGTGTCACCCTGCTTGGACAGGATGATTTTTGCTGAAGACTTAGAGGTGTCAGCCTGCTTGAGCTGGGCTGTTTTTGCTGAGAATTTGGGGGTGTCGATCTGCTTGGATGGAATGTTGTTTTCTGAGGAATTAAGGGTGTTGCCCTCTTTAGGTAGGATGTTTTTTCCTGGGGACCTGGGGGTGTCATCCTGCTTGGGTGGGATAGTTTTGGTTGGGGAATTGGAGATGTCACCTTGCTTGGGCTGGATGTTTTTTTCTGAGGAATTAGCAATGTTACTCTCTTTGGGAAGGATGGTTTTTTCTGAGCAGTTAAAGGTGTTACCCTCTTTAGGCATGATGGTTTTGCCTGGAGAACTGGATGTGTCACCATGCTTGGGCAGGACAGTTTTTGTTGAGGAATTGGGGGTGTCACTTTCCTTGGGTTGCATGGTTTGTGCTGAAGAACTGGAGAGGTCACTGGCCTGCTTAGGAAGAAACAAGTCCTCGGGCTGTGAAACGTTGGACTCCTCTGCCGGCATGGGTGGTTTGTTGCTGACATCATGGGCAAAGACCTTCTCCTGGGTAAGCGCTGGCTCCAAGAACTCTGGGACCGGGAGAGTCACATGGCTGGGCAGAACCTGTAATAGTGGACTCTCTGAACAAAAAAACAAATAAAATATATTGCAAAAGAAGAAACCAAAAATTCTGATCATATACTCCAAGGAAGACCTGTGTCATTCCTAGAGCTCACCGATGTAGTCTTACGAATGATGCATTAATTTGAATATTCACATTCAGCAAAAGGCCAAGGATCGTGTGATTACATGTATCCTTTATGTAGGTTTTTTTAAACTACAATTTCCTCAGCTTAGTCCTACACTACTGCATACTCCTAAGCACATAGGTCCATAAAGCAACAGTCTTCCCTCCGTCTTACCATCAGAATCACCTTCATGTGTTTCTGCTTGTTTGTCTGGCCTCATTGCCGGTTCTTCTGGGGCTCCAGCTTCATCACTGTCCATTTCCGGTTATCTGCCTTCATCCACTCCTACTTCATAAATGCCTCTAGGAAAGACAAGGCCACACCCTCCAACTTTTTCCAACCTATTCAACCTAACATTATATCATGAATAACAAGTTATATCTGGGTAGTACTTACAGATGGTTTTCCCTCTCTGTACTCACAACAGTAATATCTGAGAGTTTCATGACAGCCTCAGTTATGTAAGGTGGCCACACTGTGCATGAAGCTGTCCCTAGTGCCTGATATACATTCATAAGTATTAACTATAACACAACAAACCACTGAGGTAAGTGCCATTGTGATCCCTCACTTTACAAATGAGAAAACTGACCCTTAGAGAAGTTGTATAACTCACTCAAGGCCACAAAGCTAGTATGTGGGGCAGATGCCAAAGCCTCACTCTGAATACTATGCTGTTTGCCAAATGCCCTGTCCAGGGTGGGTAACTTGAAACCAACTTTCCTACAATCTCCCTCTAGGGTTCTCCAGGTCCAGCTTTCCCCTTATGACTCACCCACTGTAACCATCTGCTAAGTGTCTCCTCCTAACCACATTACCCTCCTCTGCAAAGTCCTGCCTGGCTGTCAGATGCCCTGTTTGAGTTATTTAGATGGGAGTAGATTGTGACACAGAGGAATTCCCTGAGAGGAAGAAATAAAAACCTCACCCCTCCCATCCAGGTAGATGGGGAACCAAGGGAACAGATACATGTGTCCCGGCCTCCCCTCTCCAGGTTGAAGCCTCAGCACGGATGCAGGTTAGGTGTTCTCTGAGGGAAGCCGAAAGCAGAGGAGCACTTGCCTCATTCTCCATCCTGAAGGCCATGAAGGGCCCACATCCATGTGGATGCCACATCACAAGTAGCATGGCCCATTGGCAGAGGGTGTGACCGGACTGCTGGGCCTGGGGCAGGCTCCTGGCCCCACAGCCTGCCGTGAGACTTGAAGGCCCCGGCTCCGCCACCAGGGACCTCAGTTCAGCATTGCTATCGCCAAAGAGACTGTCTTGAGAGGAGAGGGAGTGAGGGGAACACCCTGGTCTAAGAAAGCCAGAGACCCAGTAGAGGCTTCAAGGAAGAAAACAGAAGCCATAGTGTAGGGTGATCTGCAACCAGAGGCAAGGACTAGAGGCACAACCTGGACCAGGAGGTAACATCACACTGCCCCAGCCCTTAAGATGGGGTCAAGGGTTCTCAGTAGCCTTCAGTCTAGGGACCAGACCAGGAGAGGCAGAGGGCCCAATCACAGCAAGTCCACAGAGCACTGTGCACCCATATATTAAGGAGCAAGGGAGGAACTGGAAAGACTGAGCTGCTACCAAAACGAAAAAGTATTCTTTAGGCTGAAACACCACAAGTAGGCAGATTTAACTCCATGACCCTGCTCCCCACCATCCCCCCTCGAATCTCTTCGAGATAAAGCTCACAGGGAAGAGCAGATCCATTGAAGAAAAATTTGAAAGTCGTATTATATCTGAACATCTTAGTAATAAGTGAGGAACTACGATCCTGTGACATTTGTGCTTGGAGATTTGAGTTATGTTTTAGGTTCAGCAGAGTCGTTCCCGTTATTTCTACTCTTCATTCTGTCATTCAGATGGATTCTAAGAAACTTGTAATATTTATGCCTCTGCATGATTTTCATTCAGCTTGTCATAAAATGTTTCTTTTTTCAGCACAAGCTTGTCCCCAAATTGCTCATGAACCCTTATGTTCAGAAAATGAATAATCGGCTATTTTAGACATAGAAAGATTTAGGTAAGTATGAAACAGCTGGAAAGACTGCCTTTGGGCGAGGGCTGAGTCCTCGTTGCAAAACTGGCGCCTCAGGGGGGCTGTGACCTTCATGATATCAGAAAGGTAGGGAATCATAAAGTCATTGTTAGAACTGTTGCCTTCAAGAACTTTTGCTATAGGTTCAATCCAGGGCTGAGTCAGCCACCCCACAACTCCCTCTCAGCTCAGAACTAGAGATAAATGCTGTTCTGCTTCAGCGTCCCTCACCAGGCCCCACCACCGGGCCCCTGCAGAAAGGGACAGGTCTGCACGAAAATGGTCTCCTTCTCATGCAGGTTCATCTATTGGTAGAATTTAATTTGCATCCAAAACCTCAGCTGCAAAGGAGCCAAGGAAACATGGCTTCTAGTTTTCCAGCCTCTACAGTATAGGGAAGCACACTAGAAGCTGGAATAAACACTGCGTGGAAATTCATTTCTACCACATACAATGACTACATGATGGTCTCGTTTTTTTATACATGATACTGGCATAATTGTTTGGTTTTATAATTATAAATATAATACATATTCATAATAGAAAAACTAGAAAACACAGATAAGTAAAAAGAGAAAAAATTACAGTGCTAATCTTCAGGTATCACTACTATTAATATTGTGAAGTATAATTTTAGTCTTTCTTCTATTCGAATGTAGACATTCTCAAGTGAGATAATTTCCCAAAAGCTATTACAGTTGACCCTTGAACAACACAGGCTTGAATGGCACCAGTCCACTTATGCATGGATTTTTTTTTCAATGAATATTGTATGTAAATGTATTTTTCTTATGATTTTTAAACAACATTTTTTCTCTAACTTATTTTATCATAAGAATACAGTATATAATACATATAACATACAAAATATGTATTGATAAACTGTTTATGTTATCAGTAAGGTTTCCAGTTAACAGTAGGCTATTAGTAGTTAAATTTAGGGGGAGTTAAAAGTTATATGCAGATTTTCAACTGTGCAGGAGGTTGGTGCCATTAACCCCTGTGTTGTTTAAGGGTCAACTGTACTTTGTAATATTTTCACTTAATATATTTTGAATATTTTCCATGTCAAACATGTTCACCTACAGCAGGATTCAGCAAACATTTTCTGTAAAGGGATAGAGAGCGACTGTTTTAGACTTTGCAGAGCACATGGTCTCCATTACAACTACTCAGCTCTGGTGTTGCAGTATGTAAGCAGCTGTTGTGGGTTGAACTGTCTCCTCCCAAAGTTCATATGCTGCAGTTTTAACACCCCATACAGATCAAAAAAGACTTCAACTTTATCTATTACATACAGTTTCATATTGTTTCATTAAATATGTTTATGTTTATCACCCATATTTAGAAATAAAATGTTAGCATTTGTAAATTTTGGACGGTGGACATACATTTATGGGTTAGTTGTATGAATCCTTGAAATGCTCTATATTTGTAAGACTTTACATAAAAGAAGGGATACCAGCCGGGAGCACATTCTGATGTGGGGCGATAAGCAACTGGACAAGGGCTGTGGTGGGCGGTGGGGATGACGTCCCTCGTGCAGGTGACTCATGTTGCAATGACATGTCAACTGCGTGGGAACAATCACCTCTGAAGGAATTTAACTGGAAGGTTCAAGTACAGTTCAATGTGGTTCAAGCCATGGATCTGTTAACTGAGAGAATATTACTTAGAGAAGCACTTGTCACAGAGGATCACCCTTCATTACAAACTTTTTTGTAATCAGATGAACATAGCATGGATGTGTGCTTGCCCCTGGAGTATATAAGGATGCTTATTTTCAATAAAAACCTTCATTTCAGCAGCAATTACTCTAAGCATAAGGTTATCTACACTTCATATTCCCATCCTATTTTTTTCTTGTTGATATGACTGCTGTCTTAGTATTTTTTGCTAAGGTAATCAGAAGATAATTGGTTGTGTAAGTCACTGCACAAGCCTGGATTGAGTTTCTCTTGGGTTTTATTTGGTTCACACGCCCTATCCTACTTTCCTTTAGACTGTCCCCCAAATCCGAAAGATGTTGTTATGAGCTCTAATAAAATAAATAAAGCCATAGATCCATTTAAATATCTATTAGAGGATTATTTTTTTTACCTAGTTTCTCAGTGTCATAATAACAAACACCGGAGAAACTCCTAAAACAATCTAGGTGCTTTGAATGTCAAGGCAGATTGGTAAACTGCTTACCATCCCTTCTATCTTCCAAGATTTTTCAAATTTTCAAGGATGGACGTTTACATAGAATGCAATGGAAAACAGTATGGAGGTTCCTCTGAAAACTTAAAAATAGAACTACCATATAACCTAGCATTTCCACTTTTGGGTGTTCATTCAGGGGGGAAAAATGAAAACTTTAATTAGAAAAGATGTCTGCTTCCTTGTGTTCATTACAGCATCATGCACAATAGCCAAGACATGGAAAAACCTAGGCGTCCATCAACAGACGAACGGGTAAAGAAAACGGATCTAGCCTGGCCGGAGTGGCTCAGTGGGCTGAGTGTCGTCCTGTGCACCAAAGGGGTGCTGGCTCGATTCCCACTCAAGGCACATAGCTGCGTTGCCAGGTTCAATCCCCAGGCGAGACGCATGGGAAAGGCAGCTAATCTCTCTCTCTCTTTTTATCCTCCTGTGAGGATAAAAAAAAGAAACAAAGATGTAGTCTGGCCGGCGTGGCTCAGCAGTTGAGCGTAGCCCTAGCACTGGAGGTCCCAGTTCAGTTCCCTGTCAGGGCACATGCT